GACAGATAAAAGTGGCACCTATAGAGCATTAAATCCAGAGAAAGTCATCAAGTAGATAAATAAAATATCCTGCAAAGGCAGGAGAAAGTGCTTCTTCCAGGCAGCTGGGGAAGGCAGCAGCCTTCTGACCTGGCATCCACCGAGTGCCAAGGGCTGCACTTGGACTCCTGTGAGCAGAAAAAATGGGAAACCCCAAAACTGAGTTGTAGGTGGGGGTTCAGCTCAGCACCCTGGGGGGAAAGCCCCTCCCAGAGCCAAGTGGGGCTCTGAAGGCAGGAGAAAGAGAGCAAGGCTGTGCCCATCCCTCCAAGGACAGGGGGAGCCCCCCAAGCTTCCCAGCTCCCCAGAGGCATCCCTGGTTTGGGATAAAACCCAAAGCACAGCTGGGGAGCCAGCAGGACTCCGAGCAAGGCAACTTCCCTGCCCAGGCACTCATTGCTCTCCTGGGTATTGATTTTAGGGAGAACACGGATTTCCAGGCAGCCCAACAAGAGCTGCCACTTGTAAAGCTGCTCCTGAGCTCTGCCGACATTTCCTTGGCATTTACAGCATCCCCCTAAATCACTGGGCCAATAACAACCCTGCCTGATCCCACCTCAGGGGAGTGTGGGGCTGTGCAGGGCAGTGCCAGCCCTGGTGGGCACCAGGGCCCAGCTCTTCCCTCGGGGACAGCACTGGGGGCTCACTGAATGGAGCTGCAGAGGCAGAGCCTGCTCTGGCTTTCCAGGAGCAAAAGGTTTCTGGAAAGATCTAAGAGCCCCAGGTCCTTCCAGTCCCCCCATTCCGAGCAGCCCCTGGGATGTGGGGCCAGTTCCCACCCGTGGGGGGTCTCATATTAAGGAGATTTCAGCCAGGAAAGGGTCCACAGGCCCAGGATTGCTGGGGCAGGGCCAGAACTCCCCTGCAGGACTGGCAGGACAGGGTGGGAACGGTGCTGAGGGCGATCCTGGGCTCCAACCAGCCCTAAAGCTGCTTTGGGAACACGGGCAGGGACCAGGCTGGGGCAGCACCAGGAACAGAAGCAGCTCTGCCCACAGGGATCCCTGCCAGGGATGGGGAACCAGCTCTGGCTCTCCCACTGGTGGAGTTTTGCTGTTTTCCTACAAAGCCATCAAGATGCTTTTCCTTCTGGAGCAGCACCTCCCCCTTGGCTGGGGTGAATCCCTGCTGGGGCCTGAGGGGCTGAGAGCCTGAGTACCCACAGCCTGCTGGTCCCCACACAGGGGGGGGCAAGGAAAACCAAGCCCCAGCCATGGGATTGTCCCTCAGTGCCTTTTCCTGGTGGGTCTGTGCAGCCTGGAGGGAGGGAGGGCTGCAGGGAGCTGCCAGCACGGGCCCCATGCCACGCACAGCCAGTGGGTGCCATCTAGTGAACTCCTGCCTGCTCCAGGACTGCTGCCATCCTGCTCCAGAAAATAACGTTAGAACAGCTGGAAAAGGGGTAAAAAAAACCCTCCTGGCACTGCCACAGGACAGCGAGGTGGTGGCTGCCCTCCTGGGAAACTGGATGTCAGAGGGGAGGGACTGGGAATGGGCTGAAAAACAACCCAGGCTGGCCCAGGGGGGGAATCCAGAGCTGCTGCTGCTGCTCCTGCTGGATTTTGCTCACACAGACGTTGGTGCCAGGCAGACACACCCCAGGAAGGACAATCCCTCCCTCCCTGGAGAGGCCACACAGGAGGATCCCAGGCTGCTCCACCAGGAACTGGCCTCTCCTGAAGGGTTTCCCCCGGAACACAGAACAAATGAAAACGAAACCCGTGGGATCGTAGAATGAGCTCGATTTAATTAAATTCATCTTCTGCAGGACATAAAATAAAATAAGGGTCAATTCTGTGGTACAGGCTTCATTTAAATAGTGCAAACACACAGGTGATGTTCAGCAAGAGCTTCTGCTGGGGGCACAGTGGGACGAGGGGGTTTTCTTTAACAAGGAAAATGTGCCTGGGAACACCAGGCTGTAGGGAAGGGAGATGGGGAGATCTAGGAAGGCATCACTCTTCCCAGAAGAGCCAGACTTTACCTTTGCCCGAGGCACAAAGTGTTCCTGCTGCCTTCGTGGATCTCCTGCTGCTGCTCGGCCGTGGTTGTGTCTTCCAGGAGTTGGAGACTCCCCGAATCATTGCTGGGTTCAAGGAGCTGCATCTTCCTGAAGCACCTGCTCAGGTGACAGGGGAGGGGTGTCCCCACAGAGGTGTGGGCAGCAAGAGCACCTGGTTGGGGTAAAATAACACAGAAACAGGACTGCAGCCACCACAGCTGCCCGTATCCATCAGGGAAAGGTGTGGAGGGACCTGCTGGGATGTGGCTCCCAGGCAGGGTCGGGCCAGTTCCCAAAGGAGCAGGGAACATTCCAGTCATGCTGCACAGATCATGCAGGAGGATTTCCAGAGGTGAAAAGCTGCTGTCTGCAGGTCAGCTGTGCTCCTGGAGCTGGTGGGTCTCACTCCCGGGGATCCCGACACTGCTCACGGGGGGGAGCAAAGAGGATTCCCAGGACTCGAGGAATTCCTTACACAGGTTATGGATAAAGGGATGGAGAGCAGTGCCCTGGCTCTTTCTTCACTCATGGAATCTTCCAGAATGGTCAACCTTCACCGAAGGCCTCCAGTGAGAGCTCTTCTCCTGGAAGGTGGAGCTCGGAACAGGCAGAGCCCCAATGGCTTTGGGGACATTTGGTTTCTGCTCCATTTGCAGTCCCGTTTGTCCCAGTGCCACTTCCCCTCTGCAGGCACAGCTCCTGAGGAGCAGGTCCACTCTGGGCTGGATGCAGAAGGATGGAGCAGGCCCTGGCAAAGCTGGGTTCTGCTTCCCACCACAGCCCCGCTCCAGAATAAACACCGAACCCAAAGCAGGCAGAGGGTCCACAGCCTGGTGAGAGGAGCACTGAGGGGCTTCTCCAAAGGACTCCCTTGGTGTAGAGGCTTTGTCTGGGCTGAACTGGCTCGTTAACACCCCTCAGCACAGGAGGGATTTTGGGAGAGCTGAAGGAAAGGCCTACATGCCTTGAACAAGTCACTGAGTAGGTGAAAAGAGGCGCTTCAGCTGGAAACATTCCGGGGAGTAAACAGGCTGTGTTGACCTCTGGCTGTCAAGACACAGGGTTTACAAACACATTTTCACACTGCAGAGCACCAGAAGGTGCTGGAACCACGCACTTGGGAGCTTCAGAGTTTCCATACCGCCCTTAAATACCCAACAAAGTGCCAAAACTTCTGCAAAGGAAACCTGACCTACAGCACCGGCAGCAGGTTCCTGTGATCATCAAACAATGGCACCCAGATAAGAAAAAAAAAAAAAAAAGGCAGTAAAACAGACATAACTTTTTAGTTTGGGCATTAAAAGGTAGTTGTGCCCACAACTGGTGTGCTCAGGGGTGCATTAAAGGCTAGCAAGGACCTCTTCTCTCTTATTGCACTTCAAAACCACCGGAGAGGGAGGAACTGTTGGGAGACACCAACGGGGTGTTCAGAGAGCCAGCCCTCTGCAAGGAGAGCATTCCTGACTCCATGTGAATTCCCATGGGAAAGGGAATTCCCAGCACCCCACCTGCACTGCAACAAGTGGCACCACAGCTCTTGAGTGCTCTGAGCTCCTTCTTCACCCCCCAAACACGGCCCAGGAGCACCGCGGGTTTCACAGAAGGGCTCTTGGTGCACTGCTGCTTATTGAAATTTAAATTAAAGCAATAAAACATTCTTTTCCTCTCCTCCTGCTCCCCCCTCTCTTCCAAGCCCCAACCTGGGCGAGTCCACAGCTCCACAAGTGGATTTGCACTGCAATAGCTTATTCTTCTAGGACAGGAAAATCTCAAAACTTGGATCGTGGTGCCTTGTGTACGTGGAATAGTCGAGTTAAAAATAAGCAAGGAGTTGGCAAATGCACGCTGTAAACACCGTGGGGTACACTGGACAACAAATCAGAGAGACAGGAAAGCTTTACACTGAAAACACCCCCCAGATTTACCCCAAACTGCCCCACTAAAATCCCATTTCATCGGGGAAGAGCGCGTGGATCTCAGCGGGGTTTTGGGAGGCATGTTCAGCTTAAAACTCTCTTGACTTTTTGGTTTGGTCAACACAAATCACACCCTTTTCAGCGTGGCCAGATGTGGGTGATTCAGTCCAAGTGCTCTGAGCAAAACATGGGAGTTTTCAGAAGCAACTGTGGCAAAGGGGGGGAATTCACAGTATTTCAAAAGTGCCAAGTACCACAATGCATACTGCTGAGCCCTGGGAAGGGGAAAAACCCACCTGGAAAGGGGAAAAAATACCTAGAAAGGGGAAAATACCCACATGGAAAGGGGAAAAAATACCTGGAAAGGGGAAAAATATCTGGAAAGGAAAAAATACCCATATGGAAAGGGGAAAAAAGCCACTTGAAAAGGAGGAAAAAAAAAACCACTTGAAAAGGGGAAAAAAACCCCTAACACTTGGAAAGGGGAAAAAACCCACATGGAAAAGGAGAAAAGACT